TTCTTTATTCGCAAATGAGAAAGGGACATTGAGCCTTGGTCACGTCGGTCACAAATTATGACCGTACATGCAGGGAAACATTAAACACATAACATTGTGATACAATTCACAGACACATAATATTGCACAATTTCCTTAAATGTTGCAAAGTTTATCTAAAATCATTACAAGAATTTTCAAACGTGAAATTAAAAGTTAACAGAGGTGCGTAGAGGTGATTTTTAGAATGTATGGAGGTCATTATTAGCGTGTATGGCGGTGATGTTTAGAATGTATGCATATGGGGGTGATTTTTAGAATGTATAGATAAGATGTTTAGAATGAATAGAAGGGATTTTTCGAATGTGTAGAGGAAATTGTATAGTATGTATAGCTGTAAGCTCCGTGTAGGTACAGAATAAAGCCTTTATTGTTCTTGAAGTGTCTTTGTGGAATGTTTATAAAAAAAGATTATGTCCACCGAGGCTCTGGCTTGGCTCTAAGCCTGGGTAGTCCATAGTAGTTAGCAACAATACGGAGCCGGGCACCGAGGCACCGAGGCTCTACGACTAAAGACCTCAGTACATATGCCAAAAAACAGTTACTCATCCAGGTAATACGATATGCCAAAAAACAGTTACTCAAGCAACTGGATATGATTTTGAAAACGTCAGACGTTTCAGCTAGTATCCACTAGCTTTCGTCAGTGACTGAGAGACCAGAGGGGAAAGCAGGTTTATATACACAACCTGTTGATTGATATGCAAATAAAGTGAAGACAAATTTTTGGAAGTCGAAAAAGGAACAAAAGTCAGACAAGTCAAGACAAGATGATGCAAATTAGTCTGAAAGCTCCTGTTATACAGGACAGGAGCTTAAGTGTTGTCTGTCCTCGGGGCTGGGAGTGCCAAATCCCAAGTGCCGGAAAGATCGACCCGTAGCCCCCCTTCCCTGTTGAGGGTGGGGTTGTACATTCTTTCATATATTGCCTCTTTAACACCCCGTTCCCACCAGCGTGTTTCACGGTCTAAGACATCCGTGGACTCGAGTTTGAAAGAGTGACCCTGGTTGTGTTGTAGGTGGTGGAAAATAGCTGAGGAGTAGCCGTTGGCACTAGGTCGGCAATGTTCTTTGTACCTTACTTTAAGCGGTCGACTTGTCTCTCCGATGTAGGTGTTGTTACAATTGGGCTCCTCACATTTGAGTCTGTAAATAACATTCGCCTTGGTACCCTTGTGAGGTCGGTCCTTAGGGTGTACCAGTCTTTGTCTGAGGGTTGAGTGAGGTTTGAAGTTAGTGGCTATGTTGAAGTTTTGGAAGATCCGTCGGAGTTTCTCAGATACTCCTTGGACATACGGAATAGTGATGTTGGCCTTGTTTTTGTTGGTCAATGGTTTGCACTTCTGGGTTTCTTAGACTGATCTGAAC